TTTTTTAATGCTGAGTAATATTCTATTGTATATGTATACCACTGTTTCTTTATCCAACTATCTACTGATGAACATCTACGTTAGTTCCAGTTTAGCTATTGTGAATTCAGCTGCTATAAACATTGGTGTGGCTATGTCACTATAGTATACTAATTTAAACTTCTTTGGGTATAGACTGAGGGGTGGTATAGCTGGGGTCAAATGGTGGTTCCATTCCAAGTTTTCTGAGGAATCTTCCCATTGCTTTCCAGATTGGTTGTACCAATTCACAGTTCCACAAGCAATGTATGAGTGTAACTTTTTGATTCTTAAACATATCAAGAACATATCTATAAGAATATAGATTTTATAGTTAGTAAGAATTATAGATTTTATAGTTAGTAAGAATTATCCTTATCTCTCTGAGTTCCAGGATCTGGTCTATGAAAAGGGTCACAAAATTCTCTCCCTTCAGGGTAACTTGAGTTCCTCTTATCAATGTTATTTTAGGCCTACATTTCTTTTGCACATAACAAGTAGTTTGCTAAGAAATGGGACATATCCTGGTCAGTCTAGCGAACAGTCTATCAGTTTTGCAGAAACACAATGAACCACCTTTTAGCCTGATTTTTTTATATTATTTTTTCTATATGCTGTTCTACTTTATTCTTTTCAATCTTTTTTTCCATATTTTTTTAGTTGTCAATGGACCTTTATGTATATGTGGCGCTGAGAATTGAACACAGTGCCTCACACATGCTAGGCAAGCACTCTACCACTGAGCCACAATCCCAGCCCCTCAATCTTTTTTTAAACCTTCTGTTTGTTTTGCCTTTAATTTGCTCCTTTTTATTTTGTTAAGTAGATAATGTAGGCTCATTGAAAAATTCAAGATGACCCAAGGTTTTTATAAGAAAACATTTTTTCAAATAAAAACATTTACTTTGGATTTATTTCAACATAATCCAGTGGGGTGGGGTAAATGGGGATTTAAAACAAATACAGCAAAAGTATCAATGAGTTGATGATTATTATAGCTGTGCAAGGGTACTTAAGGTTTATTTTAGTATTTGCTTTACTTCTGTTTTCATTAAAAATTTTATATAACAAGGGCTGGGGATGTGGTTCAGTGCTTGCCTATCACTTGAGAACCCCTGGGGGGTTCATTCCCCAGTACCTCAAAGAGTTAAGCCCCTATACTCATTTTTTAAAAATATTTTAAAATATATATATATATATCAAAAACTTTAAAAACAAAAAAGTATGCTGTGTCATATCATATAAAAGTTCATTCAGGTTTCAGAAAACTAATTTTTTGAACAGAGAACTAATATAATGTATTGTTAACTGAATATAAAATTAAGCACTGGAGTGTAAAAAGAGAACTCTAAAGTATTAAAGCACTGGAGGTAGGTGACTAGTAGTGGGAAGGGAAGGGAAGGGGAGGGGAGGGGAGGGGAAAAAATCTTAGAGATGAGGCACTGTAGAACTGGAACTCAAACCTCTGAGGAAAGAGTTGGTTAATGCTGGTGAGAGGGTTGTGGATAATGGGGCTAGGTCCACCAGTTAGAAAAACAGATCCAGCCACTGCTACCAAAGGAATTGCTACTGCCAGAGTAAAGAAGTATTATTACTTGTGACCCTCAGAGGATCAAAAGTAGACAGGAAGGAGCATCTCCCAATGCCATTTTTCTTGAGTGCTCCCTATTAGCAAAGCCTAACAGGAAAGCTGAAGGTAAAGCAGAAACATTTGCAGAATTGCAACATTTATATCACAACTGACTGGCCATACTGTGGGAAAGATGTATGTATGGTGTGGGGGAGGGTAAAGAACGGTGGATAGATACGGGGTAAAGTTGGGAGTTCATAACCCACTTGAATCAAACTGTGAAAGATGATGTATTAAGAACTGTGTAATGGGGCTGGGGATGTGGCTCAAGCGGTAGCGCGCTCGCCTGGCATGCGTGCGGCCCGGGTTCGATCCTCAGCACCACATACCAACAAAGATGTTGT